GGCCCCGTGGCCCTGTGACCCCCGCGGCCCCTCGTCCCCATGGCCCTTGGCCACCCGTCCCCCGTATTCCCGTGTCCCCACGTCCCTCTGTCCTCATGTCCCCATGTCCAGACGTCCCCCATGTCCCCATGTCCCCATGTCCCTCCATCCTCATGTCCCCATGTCCCCAAATCCTTGGATACTCATGTCCCTGTGTCCCCAGTCCCCATGTCCCCGTGTCCCCCAGGCTGTCCCGGGGTGTCTGTGCCCTGGGTGTCACCCAAACCGGGGACCCCCATGGGGACATTGTTAGGGGACCCATCGGGGGGACACAGAGGCCCCAGATGGTGTCACGGTGGTGACATCCTACGGTGACAGGGACGGGCTGTCATGGACAGGGACGGTGGCTGGGATGGTGGGACGGGGCTGTCAGCCTGGTGACAAGATACTGTGGGTGACAGGGACAGGCTGTCACTGGGGGTGACACTGGGGGTGACAGATGGGCTGTCACCAAGAGTGATGGCAGCCATGGGTGACAGAGGATGGGCTACCGGTGTGGGTGACAATGTCTGGGGGTGACAGAGGCTGTCATGCTGGTGGCAGTGGCTGTGGGTGACAGGGACAGGCTGCAACTGTGGGTGATAGTTGCCGTGGGTGACAGGGACAGGCTGTCACTGTGGGTGACAGTGGCTGGAGATGACAGGGGTGCCATGGTGGGGGACAGGGACAGGCTGCAACTGTGGGGGATAGTTGCCGTGGGGGACAGGGACAGGCTGCAACTGTGGGGGATAGTTGCCGTGGGGGACAGGGACAGGCTGCAACTGTGGGGGATAGTTGCCGTGGGTGACAGGGCTGGGCTGTCTCTCCGGGTGACAGTGGCTGTGGGTGACAGGGTTGTCAATGTGGGTGACAGGCTGTCTTGGGGTGACAGAGGCTGTGGGTGACAGAGACAGGTTATCACTGAAGGTGACAGTGGCTGTAGGTGATAGGATTGTCATGGTGGGTGACAGGCTGTCTCTCAGGGTGACGGTTGTCACTGTGGGTGCCAGTGGCTGTGGTGACAGGGACAGGGAGTCCCTGCAGATGATGGTTGCTGTGGGTGACAGGCTGTCAGGGTGACAGTTGTCCTGGCTGACAGGGTTGTGACAGCAGATGACAGAGACAGGTTGTCATTGAGTGTGACAGTGGCTGTGGATGACAAGGTTGTCACTGTGAGTGACAGGCTGTCTCTCAGGGTGACAGTGGTCCTGGGTGACAAGAACAGGTTGTCACTGCGGGTGACAGTGGCCGTGGGTGACAGGGCTGTCATGGTGGGTGACAGGGACAGCCACCTGCCGGTATGACGGTTGTCATGGGTGATGGGGCTGGGCTGTCCCTCTGGTGACAGTGGCTGTGGGTGACAGGGTTGTCAGAGGAGGCAACAGGGACAGGTTGTCCCTGAGGGTGACACTGGCTGTGGGTGACAGGGTTGTTCACTGTGGGTGACAGCGGCCATGCGTGACAGAGTTGTCATGGTGGGTGACAGGACAGGCTGTTTCTCATGGTGATGGTTGTCACTGTGGATGCCAGTAGCTGTGGGTGACAGGGACAGGCTGTCACTGTGGGTGATGGTTGCTGCAGGTGACAGGCTGTGTCTCAGAGTGACAATGGTCCTGGGTGACAAGGGCAGGTTGTCACTGCAGGTGACAGTGGCTGTGGGTGACAGAGTTGTCATGGTGGGTGACAGTAACAGCCACCTCCCAGTGTGACGGTTATCATAGGTGACAGAGCTGGGCTGTCTCTCCAGGTGACAGTGTTGTCACTGTGGGTGACGGGTTGTCTCTCAGGGTGATAGTTGTCTGCTGGGGTGACAGTGGCTGTGGTTGACAGGGACAGGTTGTCACTGTGGGTGACAGTGCCTGTGGGTGACAGGTACAGGACATCACTGTGGGTGATGGTTGCCATGGGTGACCGGGACAGGTTCTCACTGGAGGTGACAGTGGCTGTGGGTGACAGGGACAGGGTGTTGCTGCAGGTGATGGTTGCTGTGGGTGACAGTCTGTCTCTCAGGGTGATAGGGGCCCTGGGTGACAAGGACAGGTTGTCACTGCAGGTGACAGTGGCTGTAGGTGGCAGGGTTGTCATGGTGGGTGAGGGGGTCAGGCTGTCTGTCAGGGTGACAGTGGCTGTGGGTGACAGGGACAAGCTGTAGCTGTGAGTGATGGTTGCTGTGGTTGGCAGCCTGTGTCTCAGGGTGACAGTGGCCCTGGGTGACAAAGACAGGTTGTCACTGTGGGTGACAGTGGCTGGGGGTGACAGGGACAGGGTGTCACTGCAAGTGATGGTTGCCGTGGGTGACAGGCTGTCTCTCAGGGTGACAGTGGCCCTGGGTGACAAAGACAGGTTGTCACTGTGGGTGACAGTGGCTGGGGGTGACAGGGACAGGGTGTCACTGCAAGTGATGGTTGCCGTGGGTGACAGGCTGTCTCTCAGGGTGACAGTGGCCCTGGGTGACAAAGACAGGTTGTCACTGTGGGTGACAGTGGCTGGGGGTGACAGGGACAGGGTGTCACTGCAAGTGATGGTTGCCGTGGGTGACAGGCTGTCTCTCAGGGTGACAGTGGCCCTGGGTGACAAAGACAGGTTGTCACTGTGGGTGACAGTGGCTGGGGGTGACAGGGACAGGGTGTCACTGCAAGTGATGGTTGCCGTGGGTGACAGGCTGTCTCTCAGGGTGACGATTGTCTCCTGGAGTGACAGTGGCTGTTGGTGAGAGGGACAGGGTGTCACTGTGGGTGCTGGGGGCTGTGGGTGACAGGGACAGGCTGTCTCTCAGGGTGACGATTGTCTCCTGGAGTGACAGTGGCTGTTGGTGAGAGGGACAGGGTGTCACTGTGGGTGCTGGGGGCTGTGGGTGACAGGGACAGGGTGTCACTGCAAGTGATGGTTGCCGTGGGTGACAGGCTGTCTCTCAGGGTGACAGTGGCCATGGGTGACAGGGTTGCCATGGTGGGTGACAGGACAGGCTGTCTTTCAGGGTGACGGTTGTCTCCTGGAGTGCCAGTGGCTGTGGGTGACAGGGACAGGTTGTCACTGGAGATGAAAGTGGCCATGTGTGACAGGGTTGTCATGGTGGGTGACAGGACAGGCTTTCTCTCAGGGTGATGGTTGCCATGGGTGACAGGGTCAGGCTGTCTCTCAGGGTGACAGTGGCCATGGGTGACAAGGACAGGTTGTCACTGCAGGTTATGGTTGCTGGGGTTGACGGGGACAGCGTGTCACTGGAGGTGTCAGTAGCTGTTGGTGACAGGGACAGGCTGTCAGGGTGACAGTGGCTGTGGGGGACAGGGACAGTTTGTCACTGCGGGTGACAGTGGCTGTGGGTGACAGGGTTGCCATGGTGGGTGACAGGACAGGCTGTAACTGCAGGTCATGGTTGCTGTGGGTGACAGGGACGGGCTGTCTCTCAGGGTGACAGTCGCCATGGGTGACAGAGACAGGCTGTCACTGGAGATGATGTTTGCTGTGGGTGACAGGCTGTCAGTGCAGGTGACAGTGGCTGTGGGTGACAGGGTTGCCATGGTGGGTGACAGGACAGGCTGTAACTGCAGGTCATGGTTGCTGTGGGTGACAGGGACGGGCTGTCTCTCAGGGTGACAGTCG